ACAGCTGCTCCACGTGAGGAAGAAGGGGGGCTTAAGCTGTGGGGAAAGGGGTTGCCAACTCTCCCGGACCAGACAGACTGGACACTGTTTACTGCGATGGTGTCTGCTCTGTCAGGTCTGAGAGAGTTGGCAACGCAGAGGCAGAGTCGTGAGGGAGGCCTGGGCCAAAGGAGAAGCAGGTGATCATGCAGCTGGCTGGAGAGAATGGCATTTTAAAGGGAAAGCACCACTTCTCTCCAGCTGCCTGCTACGGGGCTGCACCTGTTTGGTCTGAGTCCTGCTAGTGCTACTTACTGCAAGTGAGCAGGGGCTGGGTGCTGAGCTTTGAGGGGGTGGCTAGAGGACAGGGCTGCCAGAGTTCTTGGTGGCCAGGGGGCTGATGGAGCCTCTGCACTAAACCGGGTGTATGGGGGGGCGGAGGCAAAGCGATGGGGGCTGCTGGCTCCCATAGGCAACATGCAGCTGTATAAGGGACCGGGAAATTTGGGGCAATTTGATGCCCCATATTTCATGGTGCTCTACATGGCTGTGTATTTTGCATATGGGTAGCGGTGGCCCTGGGGATGGGGAATAAGGATGTTAAATATCGAGTAATTTACTAGTCGATGGAATTTCCATTGACTAGTCAATAGGCACTTCCACATTTCTCCTTTGAAATGTACAAGAGGCCAGTACATTTCAAAGGAGAAATGCGGAACTTCGCGTGCAGCCCGGGATCAGTGGGAAGCCCAGCTGACGCTAAGCTGCATGTGGTGTGCCAGCTTTGAAATGTACACGAGTCTCCAGCGGGGGCTCTTGTGCATTTCAAAGCAGAAGCGCCAGCATGGAGCCTAGGATCAGCGGAGGATTCAGAGTCCCCTGCTGACCCTGGGCTCCATGCTGTGCTGCTGCTTTGAAATTGAGCCCGGGGTCAGATCCCAGGCTCCATGCAGCATTTCCCTGGAATTTGGGATCAGCGGGGGAGTCCCCAGCTGACCCTGGGCTTTACGCAAATGCCATGGCGGCGTTTTAAAGGGTTAGCGCCGCACAGCTGATCCCAGGCTCAGATGTGCGGCACTGCCGCCTTTGAAATGCTGCCTCAGGGTTTCAAAGCAGCGCCGCATGGAGCCTGGGGTCAGCTCTGTGTGGCGCTGCATCAGCCCAAATGCTGAGGAGGCATCACCCCAGGCTCCATGTGGTGCTGCCATTTTGAAGTACCTCTCTTCCCCCTCCTTTGCTGCCTCTAACTGATAGTCAGCAAGGGAGAGGAAATCGACTAGTCGACTCGACTATCTGATAAGCATTTGCTTATCAGATAGTCGACTAGTCCTTAATATCCTTAATGGGGAATGGCTGGGCAAGGAACCTGCTATGGGATAAGGAGTTTGAGGGGGAGGGTAGGTTGGATCTGGTCGGGTACGAAGCCTGTGAAGGAAAATGTGGGGCAAGACAGAGAGTCAGTTGGCTGAGAAGGAAACACTGAGATTGATGAGGCGAGGGGCAGGGAGGAGAAAACTTGAATTGGCTGGTCAAGGAAACTAGGAACCATTGGCGTAACAGTTTTTAATTACATCAGCATATCTAATTTTTTCTCCAGGATCTCTGCCTCGTTAGTTAACAGAATGGACAGTGCTCACTTACAGAATAGCTCTTCAATATTTTGCTTTCTCTTCATAGTCCCATGCATGGCCCTCGCCCTTATTTATTGTACACTATTCAAACCCTGCTCTGAAGACAGGGTTATTGATCTTGGCATGGGCTTTTCTGTGGTACTCATTGCTACAGTTTGAGTGCTTCACAAATAACCCCCATGAGGGGAGAGGGTGGTCTTATCCCCATTGCACAGAAGGGGAATCAAGGCACAGAGAGATTAGGTAAAAAGTGTCCACTAACTTTGGGTGCCCAATTTGAGACACCCAGCACCTGAAATTCCATGGTATGTAGCAGTATTTAGCACTTTATATGTTCAAAGCACAGGGTTCAGTAGCTGCAGCAAGGTGGCAGGGTTCCGTCGGTAAATATTAGAGCTCTACCTGAAGGAGTTGATGTTTTGCTGACTCATTGTGGCATGCAGTGCACTCACTCATCCAGGGCGGAACAGAGGTGGGAGTGGCGCTTTAGAGATTTGGAAATGGAGAGCTCAAACAGTGGTGATCCTGGAAGGAATCTTTAGGAAATGCGATGCTCAGGGATGAAGCTCTGATTGAGGTTTCCAATATGCTCTTCTCTTTGAGTTACCCATAAAGTTAAGCAGCTCAAAACAATGAATTTTGAGCTTAAATCCAGGTCTGTTGATGCCACATTTAAAAGCAGTTGGTCTTTGCTCTCTTTTTTCACCATTGCTACCACTGTTGGAGCTGCCACCATTAAAAAGTTTAGGGAAAAAGGCTAGTGGTGCATGCTGCCCTTGTATAAAAAAGGCTTCAGCATTTTGTCACATCTGACATCTGGATGGAAGCCCTCTGCATGAAACTCAATCTTTAGAAAATGGAGGGGATGCCCACAGCCGAAAGGAAACATCTGGAAGAATAAGCCAGGGGTGTGACTGCTTCCTAAATTATTGGTGTGATTATATATTTCTTAGGGCAGACAAGGCTTAGGGAAACCTTGAACTATCCACCTGATTGCAGGGGAAATCCTTCATCCATCATCACAAGATTAACCACTTGGCAATCAGAAGAGACTGGAAAGAACATTTTACATTAGCTTTTCACAAATCTGAAAACCAGGAAGTGCCACCTCAACAGATCAGCTAGGTAGCTTATGAAGCTTTAACTTGAGATTCTGTCAACAACTTGAGACAGTGTCTAAAAAGGGACTGATAAATGGATATTCCCTGAACCAGTGCACTGAGAGAGATCCTCTGGCATTATGAAAAATGTACTAATCAGGGGAAGTCCTATAATCCGTTCATTAGTTAGTGTCTGGAGTCATAAAATATTGATGCAAGAGGGTGTGTGTAGATTTCTGCAATATAGAGTTAATAGAGATGTTTGCAATTTGGCTGAGATCCATTCCTAATGGTCTGACTCAGGCTGTATTCCCTAATCAGTACTCCCATCAGTTCCAAGGAACGCCTTGCACACACACATTGATGTCATCTATAGGACTTTAAAAGGATTTGTTCCATCTCTTAGGCTGTTCCTGCCTCAGTGATTTCTTAATAAGTGCAATACACAGGGATTACCATAATGGAAAAGCCTATTGGCCCATTTGACAACCTGATTTGCATCCAATACTGCTTGTTCCATCTAGTTATTATACAGTGGTGATGGGGTGGGAATTTCTTCCTGACCCCAACTCACGAGCAAACTCTATACTGAAGCATAAGAAGCAATCGCTCTTATAATTTTTAATCCAGCTAATTTAATACAAAAGCTCGCCTTACCAAATGTCTAGTCTTTTATTAACATAATCTATTATTGTACAGCAGTGAATGTAACAGGGTTATTAAAATTGGGGTGAAAATTGTCTGTTTTAAATGTGCTCCTTTTGACCTGATTGAGTGCCCTTAGTTGTTTTACAGGATACAGCAAAGCTCTTTAATTTTTCATCTTTCCACTTCTTTATATATTTGTCCTGTTTAATAGAAGAAACAAAATGAGTTAAATGCATCATGGAGTACATGGTTGTTAGCTAGAACAGTGTCTCTCAACCAGTAGTACAAGAACCCTTAGGGGTACTCAAGAGAAGTCTGGGAGCTATGTAAACACAATTGAAATTTGGAGAAAACTGAATTTTTGTTTTAATTTTTACAGCGCTTTATTATTTTTGTACTTTTTACACTCAAAAAATTGTATCACCTGCCTGGCTACGATTAAGTTGTTTAAACAAATGTGTTGCAATGATAGAAACAAAAATTTGTGTGTCTGAAAACTGTAGGTACTGGGGGTACTTACAATTTTTTTTAAAAAAGGGGTACTTTATTGAAAAAAAGGTTGAGAAACACTAAGCTAGAAGACATGTAATTAATAATACTTGGCACATCTATAGTGCCTTTCATTCTAAGACAACAAAGCGTTTTAAACATGACTGAACAAAGATTTACAACACCCTTTTGTAAAGTGTAATGGGGAGTCAGTGACAGAGTTGGGACTAAAACCCTTAATTCCATAGTCCCTGTCTCAGGTTCTCACCTGTAGGCAATACTTCCTTACTACTGACAAGTGGAAAGGATTCTCCTGTAGTTCAAGAGGCAAAACTGTGTCTGTAATGGCCACACATGATCAGGACCTTGGTGTTTTCAGTGTCTCACTTGACAGAGTTAGGCCACCTCCCCCACCACAGCAGTCAGGGTGATTTGAATCACTGACATCACTTCCTGTGCCGTCATATGACTTAAACAAGCATTTTCTTTCATTTAGAGCTGCTTGTCTCCTCTCTAACCTGCATGCACTTGTTTTTCTCTATTGTAGAGTTTGATAACGGCTCTAGGCCAGACTGTGAAGGCTGTGACCTACGTTCTTGTCCTGCTGTTCCTGTTAATGTTTATCTTTGCCATTTTGGGTTATGGATTGTATGGCGACCCCGACACCGGAGACAGTAAAAATTGGGGCAACCTAGCATCTGCTCTTTTCACTCTCTTCAGTTTAGTAACGGTAATTCCTGTTGTCCTTTCCATTTTATGGCTGCCTATTACCGAAACTGTTGTAACTGCTGCCTCTGATTTTGGCAGCGATGTTGAGAGAAGCCATTTAATAATATTGCGATTGTTCTCGGCATTAAAGGTGGTGATAGCTATTCCGTGGGTTTTATATAATGTCAGATGGTTGTGAAAATTCAGTTTGATGGATAGATTCATTTTCTGATATTAAAAATTCAGAGGAGAAAGCTTGTTGAGCTGATACCAATGGGTTATTTAGTGGCTTTCATGTGACATCTGAGTTAAACCTGGAACTTTAAGCAATTTAAGCAATTGGAAAACCAAGGTCAGTTTAAAAAAGAGAAAGAGAGATTTAGTCTGGTCTGTAAGTCATACTGTGGTGTGAAATTAACTGATCAGAGATTCATTGCATTTGCAGGTGGATGGCTGGACAGACTTACAGAATGAATTAGACCAACACGGTTTTAAATCAAGCCGAGCTTTCACAATAGTGTTCATATTGCTGGGGTTCTTTGTGTTTTTCAATATATCTATTGGAGTTGTGATTATGAATATCCAAGTAAGTTGGGTTTCCCTTTTTCTTTGTATGTCTCTAACTCCAGGGCCATTGGTCTGAAAACTAGTATGTTCATCTTTGGAAAGCTGGCTTTTTGACACTGTTAGGGTATGTCTACACTACCCCCCTATTTCGAACTAGGGGGGTAATGTAGTCATTCGGAGTTGCAAATGAAGCCCGGGATTTGAATTTCCCGGGCTTCATTTGCATGATGCCGGCCGGCGCCATTTTTAAATGCCAGCTAGTTCGGACCCCGTGCCGCGCGGCTACACACAGCACGGACTAGCTAGTTCGGATTAGGCTTCCTATTCCGAACTAGCTGTACGCCTCGTTCCTCGTCCCCCTCCCAACTCATGCAGCATGAGCTTCTCTACCAGCCAGGCAGTATGCAACTACGTACTGATACTCAAATAATAATAAAACTTACTTAATTAGAAAATACCAGACATTTATATGTCCGGTATTTTTTCAATTTGTTTCCTGGACAGAAAACTCAAATACCGGACTGTCCGGTTCCAAATCGGACACCTGGCAACCCTACTTGTCTGTTGTTATACAGAGACAAACAGAGCCAGCCCAAAACGCTCCATCCTCACTCAGCTGCTAAAGGTCTCCTGCCCTTCCAGGCTTATCAGCTACTCACTCCTCCCATATATGAGGGTAATGGAAGTTTGCCTGAAGCCCCAAACACTGTAATAAGGCTGGTCAGAACCAAGGGCAAATTTGTATCCATTTAAATTTATGGCCTACAGAAGGATTGTCTTGTAGCTTCCCCTGTAGCATTTGGTGCTGGCCACAGGATACTGACCTAGACAAACTGCTACTCCAGTTTGTAATGGCCACTATTTTCCTGTGACATCCCAGGTGAAACAATGAGCAAGGGATGCCAGTAGGGTGGTGGAAATCTGTTGGACTGACCCTACCAAACTCAGCCTATGATAAGAAGAGCTTTGGTGCTATCAGTTTGGGCTGGATTTAGATCAGTGACTTAAAGGCAAAAGCGTCTCTGACTAATTGCTTATGCCATTCAGTTAAGGCCATTTAACACACACTGTTTTGGTATTTATAGGACTCCACTCAGAATTATGAACGAGAGCTTAAAGCAGAAAAACAAGCTGCTCTTCAGGCAAAAAAACAGGCCCTATTACAAAGACAACAAGAGGAAGTAAACATGCTAATCCACCAGCAGGTAGATGCACTGAACTGTATTTACTTGAAGTATATTGAACAATATTAGTATTACAAACATATGAAAGCAATACATTAGTTGTGTGAGACAGCACAGAGTTATCTTCAATTCAGGACTTTAGAATCAGTTATCTAACAGATGTCTCAGAGGGGTAGCCGTGTTAGTCTGTTAACTTTAAAAAACAAGTAGTCCTGTAATACCTGAGGGTATGTCTACACAGCAAAGTTATTTAGAAATAACAGCCATTATTTCAAAATAACTGTACTAGTGTCTACACAAGCTAACCATTATTTTGAAATTAATTCAAAATAGTAGAGGGCTTATTTCGAAATTGGTCAACCTCATTCCATGAGGAATAGGGCCTATTTCGAAATTGCTATTTCAAAATAGGGGCCTGCAGTCCTTCCCAGGGTGCCCTGCTGGCCACTCTGGCCTTAACCAGGAAAACTCTCCCCCCTCCCCGGAGCCCTTAAAAGGGTAGAGTCTGGTCCCAGTGTCTGTGCCAGCTCCAGGTCTTCCAGCCCAGAGCCAGTATTCGCTGCCCCTGACCCAATGGCCCCAGCATGAGCCAGGCAGCCACTGCCAGCCAGCCCTCCACCACTCCCTGGGCCCAGGAGCTCCAGCTCCCAGGAGCCTGCCAGGGGCCGGAAAAGGCAGGAGCCTTCCTGGTACAGTGCGGAAATCATGGACCTGATTGAGGTTTGGGGGGAGGCCTCCAATGTCCATGATCTCTGCACTAGATGGAGGAACGCGGCCGTCTACGGGAGGATGGTTGCCAGCCTGGCCACCAAAGGCCACATCCAAACCCAGGAGCAGGTTCAGATGAAAATTAAAGAGCTGTGGCCGGACTATGCCAGGGCCACAGAAGGCAGCTCTCAAACAGGAGAGCTGCCCCTATTTTGACGCCCTGGACCGCATCCTGCGGGGGTGGGACGGTCTGTGCCCCCCAGGTGGTTATTGACCCTGGGGCAGAGGGCCCTGACCAGGGCACAGAGGAGGAAGAGGCGGAGGAGAGCGAGGAGCCGCAGGACCTCCCAGCGGACCTGTCGCCGGTGTCATCCGGGGAGGCAACAACATGTGAGTGCCATCACTGTCCCCTTATGGGAGGCTGGGGTGGAGGGAAACCAGGGACTGCATGTATGGGCCTTGCTGACCACGGATTATGCAGCAACCTGTGCACGTGTGAGCATATGCTGTGCCATCCATGGGCACGTGGCCCCAGCTGGCTGCCACAAGGGCCTTGGCCTGTAAGCCACAGGCATGTGTGAAGAGATATGACATGCTCCTGACCCCAGGGTGGGACACAGCAGGATGCCCTCCCTCCACAAGCCCCCTCTACACAGAGGGAGGGGACAGCTCTCCCCCCCCCCACACACACACTATATACAGCACAGAGGCATGGGTGCAGTCCCAGGGCAGCTCCCACTCCTGGGGATAGCAGGACATCCTGAACATGGCTTCTGTGCAAGCACATCGGCTCTGATGGTGTGCAGAACTGTTGTCCTCACCTTGCATAGTGGGGCTGGGCTTCACCCACTGTGTCCTCAGGGATAAATAACCACTTCTCTTGTTTCTCCACAGCCGCACCAGCTGCGAGTGCAGGGTGCACCACACCACCCGGGGCGTCCTTCCACACCTAAGAACTCCGCAGACCCACTCGTGCAGTAGAAGGGTACCAGCAGGAGCACCTGGGGGCACTGTGAGCCCTGCACCACACCCTCCAGCACTGAGTGCAGGAAGACCTGCAGCTCTGGCAGAAGCAGCTTGCCCAGGGCCGTGCCATCTGTGAGCACCTGCAGACCCTGGTGCAGAGCTTGCTGCCTCCTGCTGCTCCAGCCCCTGTTGCCTCCCCAGCTACTGCTCCTCCTCCCACTCCTTCTCCCCCTTCTGCTTCTTCCTCCCTACCCTTCCCACCCCCCCGGGGACACCGAGGCCCCGCACTTGCAGTGCTGGGAGACAGTTTTGTTAAATAAAGACAGTTTGTTTTTATGAAAAAACGTGTATTTTATTTTACATCAGGTAGGGGGTTGGGGGGGCGGGGGGAGGGTAAGTGGAAGGACATGAGGGAGGAATGAGGCACAATGGGGCAGACCAGGGAGACTCTTAGTGCTCCTTAGGGTGGAAGCTCTCCCGCAGGGCCTCCTGGATACTGACAGCCCCCCGATGGATCTCCTGGATGGCAGCCTGCAGAAAGTGCAGCCAGGCTCGCAGCAGCGCATCCAAAAGAAACACCAGAGTGTCCAGGGGCAGCTCCAGCTCCAGCTCCACCTCCATGTTGCAGAGTGCTGTGGTGGCCCAAGTGAGGGCAACCGAGCATACAGAGACAATATGCTTTGCTGTCCCTCATCGAGGTAGGCAAGCAAGCAGGGAAATCTGAGAACCGGCTGTCCGGGTGGGGGGCGGGGGAGGGTCCCTTTAAGCACAAGCCTCAGATACCTTGCATAGCTGCTGCCTGAGGCTAACTCCTGACCTGATGCCCTTCCAGAACCAGTTCCAGCCGGCCTTAAATGTGATTCAGCGTCCAATCAGTGTGGACATGCTATTTTGAAATAGCAAAACTCTATTTCAAAATGCATTTTGTGTCTAGATGCGTTATTTTGAAAGAACGTATTTCAAAATAACTATTTTGAAATAAGATATTTCGAAATAACTCTGTAGTGTAGACATACCCTGAGAGACTAACAAATATGAGCTTTCGTGGGCACAACCCATTTCCTCAGATGAGCAGAGGAAGCTCATGATACTATATATATATATTTTTTTGTTAGTCTATAATGTGCTACAGCATCATTCGTATCTCTCAGAAGTAATTTTTAAAGTTTTTTCACCTTTAGAAATAAAAAGCCAAGTCGAGTGGAAAACTCCCCTGAATATTTACAATAATAATTTCCAAAACAGATTCCCATTGGTGTTTTTTTCTGAAATATTTCTGCATCGTTCCCATGTTATTAAATGTAGATCAGTTTGTAGTATAATGGTATCTCAGTGCTGCGCATATATGCCTCTGTAACCATATATTTCTTTTGATTTATTGTTAAGTTCTACAGGCAGTATTTTGAAACCCACTACAATCAGGTCACAGGCACTTCTCAAAGATGATTTAGGTTATGTCCACACTGTCCCACAGATTGGAATACAGGGGATGTGAATAGCAGTACACACAAAGTGCTGCACTGTAGCTTCTCCCCGCCACCCCATATGGGTGTTGCAGGTGCAAACTAAAAAGTTCCTAGTTTGGATTAGTGTAGTCCTGTTTGAAGAGGACTATTTTTCTGTGAACAACGAACCTTTTAGCTTGTGTTCACAGTGTCCACTGTAGGATATACAGTGCAGCATTTCGCTAGTCACATTCCCATAGTCTGATCCATGAGGCAGTGTAGACGAGCCCTCACTCAAAATTGGCTTTCTTCCAGTTTTTAAAGTAGAAATATCATTTCCCCTGTTTAACACTTAATCCAATAAATTGATCTAAAGTCTGATTTTGTGAACTTGAAATTCAGGTAATGGATCATTTTGACATTTTTTTACTCTGACGGTTTTTGAAAATGGACTTTTATGAAGCTGATTTGATATAATTGTAAATACTGCTATTTCAGCATAGATCATTGGAATAATCTGACTGCCTTTCTTCTGCCATCCCTTCTTCTCTCTCTTATTATTATCAAATATAATTTAACACTAAAGAGCTCAGTGTGGCTCAATTACTGATGCTTTAACTTTTGGGAATATATGAAGTCATTGATCCAAGTTCTTTAGAGGGTGATTGATTTAAGGTTAAGCATTTCAGTTCCCTCTGGTATCCACTGCTGAGAGATACTGTTACAGGAATGATCTCTTTGGAGGAGACCCTGAACTTTCATCCCCTCTGCTAGATCTGGTACTGGTAGTTGTTCATGTGCAAGACAGTGATCCTATGACTTCTGAAAAGAGTGTAAATTTGACATCCTGGCCAATGTTCTCTCTGGATACTTCCCTGGCTAGGTAGACAGACGTGCGATATCTCTGCTTGAACTAGCATGCTAAAAGTAGCTGTGTGCTCATTGCTGCATGGGCAGAGGCTTGGGTTGCCAGCCTGTGCTCAGACTTGGGTGATTCCAGTCAGTCTGAGCTCTGGTGGCCACATTCACGCTGCTGTTTTTAGTTTGTTAGCTCAAACCAAGCTAACGCTATCATGTCTATGTGAGCTGGGAGGCTTGCTTCAAGCTGCCATTTAGATGTACCCTTGGTGTGTTAAAAACAAATGTTATATGGCCAAAGTCCCAGCCCATCCTCCAGTTTTGTATACCCCATGTTAACACTCAAGAAACCAGGCATTCCTCATGCATATTGCCAGGGCAATTGTGTGTGCCAACCTGGGTGTGTAAAACTGGAGGCCTGGGTGAAAAGCTCTGGGTAAGTTATTGCTATGTTCTAAGGTTCCATCTGTATCCACCATCTCTGCACTGCTATTATCTTTCATAAAGCTCCTTTAAATACCTGGAAAATGAAAATGTCTCTAAAATAACCCATTTTATTTTAACAATGTGTTTTCCTGGGATATATGTATTTTTTTACATTAGAAAACCAGTGAGTATAAAACCTTCAGTGAATTAGTGGAGGACTTTAAAAAAACATTACATCATTCTGATCCTATGGTCTTGGAAGATTTTTGTGCCAGCATTCCATTTATTGATCTTTATGTGACATCCCTTGATCTTCAGGATGATACAGTTTATCGGTAAGTAACTTAGGTGTAAAAAAACAGAGGCCAAGATGCTAAAAATCTTTAAAATGTGTGTTGGAATTGTTTTCTTTCTTTGGATTAAATACTGGCCATCCTTTTGGCATTGTTACTGGAGAGTCTGTCACCTATTGCTCTCTTTGGGTGAAATAGCTGTAGATCTCTGACTGGATTGTGAGGCACATGTAGAGACATTTGATCTAACTGAAGCTGATTGTGAGAGCATGTCTACACTACCTGCTTAGTTGATGGGCCGTGGGGGGGAGATAGGGGGAGAGGAGCACAGTGAACTCAAACAAAAAGTTTCCTAGTTCACAGAAACGTAGTCGTCCTCAAACAGGGCTACACTAATGCAAACTAGGAACCTTCTAGTTCACACCCACGTGGTTGCACAATGCTTTGCCGTGTTTGATTCCTGAGTGTAGTCTTTTCCATTGAAGTCTGGGAGCTCTGCAAAGGCATTCCGGTAACAAAGCCATGCTGTACATTTAGGGTATGTCTAAACTACATGGCTCCGTCGACTTCATTTGCGGCTTCATTTGCCTTTGCCTATGTGTCTAATCTACATGCCTCTGCCGACAGAGGCATGTAGTCCAGACACAGCCTTAGGTATATTGGTCTTTGACTATACACAACACTGGCAAGTTATTCTGGAAAATCAGCTGCTTTTCCGTAAAAACTTGCCAGCTGTCTACACTGGCCGCTTGAATTTCCGGAAAAGCACTGACGATCTAATGTAAAATCATCAGTGCTTTTCCGGAAAAACTATGCTGCTCCCGTTCGGGCAAAAGTCTTTTTCCGGAAAACTGTTCCGAAAAAGGGCCAGTGTAGACAGCACAGTAGTGTTTTCCGCAAAAAAGCCCCGATTGCGAAAATGACGATCGGGGCTTTTTTGCGGAAAAGCGCGTCTAGATTGGCCACGGACGCTTTTCTGGAAAAAGTGCTTTTCCGGAAAAGCGTCCTGCCAATCTAGACGCGCTTTTCCGAAAATGCTTTTAACGGAAAACTTTTCTGTTAAAAGCATTTCCGGAAAATCATGCCAGTGTAGACGTAGCCGTGGAGCATAGGGCCTGGAATCAGGGGCTTGTGGTCCTAAATACTTGAGCTAAAGGAGAACGTATGAGATGAACGTATTGTTAAGTAGCTCTTTATGAGCTTTATGAGCCACAACAGCTTCGTCATTCCTTTCAGTGGAGGACAGTGGTAACATGTATACACTGGCCAATATATTTACAGGTTCTCACACCAGCTCCTTACACTCCACCCCATGGAAGAGTGTAAGGAAGGAGGGGAATACCAGATATCACTCTAACCTCCTGCAGGGGTGTAACGCCCACAGCCGGAACCAAACCTGGGACCTATAGAGTTTAGTGCATGAGCCTCTTACAGCTTGAGCTAAAAGCCAACTGCTGCTCAGCTAAGGCTGTAGTAGGGCAAACTTATGCTTTCTGTAAGTGGTCTAGTGCCACTAGATGGGATAGTACAACATACCCGGTAGGTGTGTGGGTTACACCGGCATGCAATGATAATGATGAGATCTAGAGGGAACTGATGTCTGGCACTACTATTTCATGGGTGGGAGAACTATCATGATGCAGTCCTGTGTGGAGTGCAAGGAGCAGGAAATGGGAATACTCAAGACCTGGCAAATGCAAAGGCTTCTATTAGGGAGGGTAAATTTGATTGTGTAATAGAAGCTGATTTGTCATGTCACTACAGCAACAGATTTCTTCAGAGATCGAGTAAAAAATCTTTCTTCATTATTATGCACAGAACCACTCCCCCCGCCCCCAGCAACTGATTATCCAGTAATTGTTCGTCATTCATTTTATCTTGTTCAATGAGCAGTGAAAGATCAGATTAGCTGAAGAGATAATAGTTGTGTGTATGGTTTTTCAATGGGCTCTTCATATTATCCATTTAAGAGAGTGATAATCAGATGATATAGACTCATAGACTCATAGACTTTAAGGTCAGAAGGGACCATTATGATCATCTAGTCTGACCCCCTGCACAGTACAGGCCACAGAATCTCACCCACCCCTCTTAGAATATTTCAGTTATGCCCTTTGCTTCCTTCTATAGGTTACAAGAACTCTATCATGAACTTGTTGGCACGTTGAACTCCATATTGGAAGACATAAGAGAAAAATCCATGGTGGCCCCGGAGACAGATTTGAAGAGTTAAATATTCTAGTATGGAATATGTAATGCTTTGTCATTGTAAAACCACTGTTTAAAAAGGGCATAAACACACATAAATAGAAACTCAGAGGAGATTTGTTTCCCCCTTTTGATAATGTACTATAGAGTGTTGTCTTATATTAATAGTGTACACTAATGCAGTACTTTTGATAAGAGGCAATGTGGACTAGATAGAATGCTTGCCTGGGATTCAAAAGGCCCAAGTTTTATTCTGAATTTTGTGTCTAATCTGCTGTCTGACCTAAGGCAAGTCACTTCACTGCTCTGTGCCTCGATTTCGCCATCTGTAAAATTTGAGATAATAATACTGACTTCCTTTGTAAAGTGCTTAGAGAGCTACTGATGAAAAGATAAGAGCTGGGTATTATAATTATTATGATAAGAGCTAGGTATTATTGTTATTATAATTATTTAAGGACTTCAATGTGCCTTATAAATATTGATTGATGTAGATATTATTGTGCATTACCAGTATTCAGATGGGGCAACCGATAGAGAGATTTAAGGGCCTGATACTTTCTTTAAAGTCTGTGGACAAGATGAGATTAGATCCCCATTCTCTTGACTACCAATCCAATGCTTTAACTTCCTGAAGAAGATCATCCTTGCCCTTAACATTCAAAGTGTATGTGAGGTAATGTAGGGACTATGCTAAACAAGAAGTAGTTGAAACATGCTCAAGAAATTATCCATAATCTTTCTAAATGTAGTGATAGGACTCCGCAGTTAGAACCTTGGCTGAACCTGTTTGTATTTGACTCTTTGGAGACATGCAGGCAAACACACCCACTATGCTTTGCACTAACTCTTGAATATCTGAAGAAAGAGATGCAGCTGCTTTAGTACAGTGCACTTTGTACTCGTTATAGGTCAACAAATTGGCCTTGTTAACACTAGTTCTACCCTTGATAAGTAATTCCTCCCTTCTTTTGATATACTTGCATGTATCTATTTCCCTGCCTTTGTAATTTCCACTCCAGTGCATCTGATAAAGTGGGTTTTACTCATGAAAGCTGATGCCCAAATAAATCTATTAGTCTTTAAGGTGCAACAGGACCCCTTGATGTTTTTGCAAATGTGATAACGTTTTTCTGAACAGCTCATTCTTTTGCAAAGCTATTATAGAATCATAGAACCATGGAGCTGGAAGAGACCTCAGAAGGTCATCAAGTCCAGCCTCCTGCTCTAGGCAGGACGAATCCCAACTAAATCAACCCGGCCAGGGCTTTGTCAAGCAGAGACTTAAACACCTCTAGTGATGGAGACTCCACTACTTCCCTAGGTAACCCATTCCAGTGCTTCACCACTCTCCTAGTGAAATAGTTTTTCCTAATATCCAACCTGGACCTCTCCCACCACAACTTGAGACCATTGCTCCCTGTTCTGCCATCCGTCACTACTGAGAACAGCCTCTCTCCATCCTCTTTGGAACCTCCCTTCAGGAAGTTGAAGGCTACTATCAAATCCCCCCTCACTCTTCGCTTCTGCAGACTAAACAGACCCAACTCCCTCAGCCTCTTCTCATATGGAGTTTATTCCATACCCAACCAGGCATTTGTTTTAGCCACAAAATGAAATGAACCATGCAGGCAAGTGCAAAAGAGAGAGCAGGAGGAGATGGCTAATTGTTGTAATGGTTTCTCAGAACCCCAGAGGCAATGTACATTTGCAAGAGAATCAAAACAAACTCATTGTGGTAATGCTGCATTTGGCTGTTTTGTATCTTAGGCTGCAACACCCCAGATTGATGCTTTAAGATCAATCCACTGGCAGTAGATTTAGTGGGTCTACTTAAGACCTGTCAAATTGACCAAAGAGCACTCGCCCATCAATCTGTTACTTTACCCCAGACAACAGAGTACAGGAATTGGACAGGAGAGTTTCTCCCCTTGACTCCCCCCTGGTGTATAGCCCGTGGTAACTCGACTTAAGGTATGTTGACTCCAGCAACGTTATTCACATAGCTTGAGTTGCATAGTGTAAGTCGACTTTCTGTTGTGTAGATGTAGCTATAGAGATGGAGAAGCTTGTCCTTTCCTGATCTTGTCCAGCTCCGTGTAGAAAGGGGGTATCCAGTGTTAAGCCAATACCACACTTGATCTTTAGCAGACTGCTGAGAAGCAGCAATAAAACATATTTGACACTGTTGACTGGAAAAGTTTTCAGCTATTGAAGTATTTTGAGAACTAGAGTTGCGTGGATTGAATCTACAGCCCAAAAAAAGTATAGCATTTGGGGCTGAGTTTTCTGAGTCATGTATAATTTTTATATTACAGCTATGAAGTACTTTATGATTATATGTAGTCAATAGATGTATAATATTACAGGAAGAACCACTTGAAAATGGCCTTTTTAATAGCAAGTGGCTATTCTGGATCACTCAATGGCTTTCAGTAGTAAAATAAATTAGAAACAGACGCATACAGTATCTAATTCTAGGGTTTAGAGGTTGTGAAAAAAACTGGGCCCATAAAGCAAAATTATCAACACTTTCTCACAGAGAGGGGCAGAATTTTTTTTTTTAAAGAAAATAGATGTCTCTTTGGCTGCATGCTGCACATTTATTTCTTGAGTACAGTGTACCAGTCTTGTTGTTCTGTGTCTGTCTCCCCCAAGTATCTTCTCTGTGAAAGTCTCTAGCGGTTCACCTGCCTAACTATCACCAAAACTAGCATACTGCCCTTTATATCTGTGTAGAGTGCATTTGTGTATGTCCATATTGTCTTTTGTACATCAGCCTCCTCAATGCCCTTTGTGTCAGTTAAGTCACACAACTGGTCTCCCTCATGCCTCACGGAATGAGATTGATTTACTCATGATATTTTAGACCAGTTTTGATTGTCATGTAGGAGACACCTAAGGTCAATGCAAGCACTGCATCTTTGATTCCATTTCCTTAATTTAGCTCTTCAGAGTCAGTCAGCTTGAGGGCCCCCAAAGTGCTTGGATAGATTTTAATTACCACCGCTACTATTTTCCTTCAGCCAGATGTTAATGGCTGTGGAAGAGGGTGTGCTCACCTCTTGTTACAGGATTGCTGGTGGGGCCTCAGGTTCAGGGCCAGCTTTAGGCCGATTCACCTGATTCCCCCGAATTGGGCCCCGCGCTTAAAAGGGCCCTGCGCCCTAAAGCAAGAGAGGCCTGCGCCTTAAATCTGGAAGTGCTGGGTGCGCTGCTGGAGGGGGCGTTGGCCCCGGAGGAGCGCGGCGGCTTCTGTGCGCTGCAGGAGGGGGAGTCGGCCACTGGGTTTGGTGGGAAGGCGGGACTCTGCCCTGTAGCTGGGGATTTAAAGGTGCTGTGACTTCTCTTTTTGTGTGCTGGTGGTTTTTTTTTTTTTGGTTAACAAAAAATCCTGGCTGCCAGGGCCCCGTCAAAACAGTTCGAATTGGGCCCCACACTTCCTAAAGCCGGCCCTGCTCAGGTGGAAGGGCTGGGGTTGGGGCAGCCAGCCCTCAGTGTTACCCAGACCATGTGGCAACTGCCTCCTCCATCCCCGCCAGCCCTCAGAGCCATCCAGAGTGCACAGCGCAGAGTTCTGGAGCACACCGTACCACGCTCCAGTGGCAATTTAGCTGTGGCAGTGGCCAGGAGCCCCGGGTCATTTAGCATCACCTGGTCTTGGGGCATTTGCCCCCTTCGCCTCCCCTCCCCCAGTTGGCAGGTCTGTGTGTGCCTGCACACACTCTCTATTTGTGGTTGTTTTTCAGTGACGGACCCTCCATCTGAGTCACACAGTCTATATGTGAAATAAAATAATGCAAACCCATTCTGGGGTACAAGTCCAACAGTGTCCTCTGTGACGTCTCTCTTCGTTCCCACTCTGGTCTAAAGCAGTGTCCTGGAACTCCTGGCCTGGAGCCTTATTTGCCCCAACTCTTCAGCTGGATCACTATAGTTCAGTTCCTTTCTCTGGTGTACCTCACTGTCCAGGCCACTTGCCCCAGTGGCAAATGGTGGCTGGGGGGTGGGTGGGTTAGGGCCTGGCCTCTACTCTGAGTTCCAGCCTAGGGACACTGTAGATAGCAGCTGACTGCAGTGTCTTTTAAAATAACTGCCTTGCTGCTATAATTCCCTGGGCTACTTCCCTATGGCTCCAGCACTTTCTCAAGGCTTTGTCTCGGTGGAGTTCCAACCACCAACTAGGGTTGCCAGATGGTTGAAACAAAAATTCCGAACACCGCCCCCCCCGCGCCAAAAAAAACAAAAAAACAAAAACACAGGGAAAAAATTCTGTTGAAGGAGAAAAAAAAGTGTGGGGAGACCAAAGTTGTTGAACAAAAGGAAAAAAGAACCCTGAGAGTTAAGGGGGAGGGAAAAAAAAAGCTTGTCCCCTTTAAGAAATGCTTTTCTTTTGAGGCTTTTGGGCCCAAACAGGCTGTTGGAGGCCCCCTGTCATCTTGCCTCCCTGCGCCAGGCCGGACAGCTCCTCTGCAGAATCTGGTAATAAGCACCTGGGATTTTCGCCTCTTGGCCAGGAAAAAATCAGAAAATACTGGAAATTTTAGGTTTCTGGTATTTTCTGATTTTTTTTTTTTTTAAGCCTCCTGGCCAGGGAAAAATTCAGAAAATACTGGACATCTCAGGTGTCCGGTATTCTCTGAATTTTTTTAACCGGACAGGAGCCGAAAATACCAGACTGTCTGGGTGAATACCGGACACCTGGCAACCCTACCGCCAACCCACAGCACCTTCTGCTGCCCTCCAGCTCTAGCAAACGACTGAAATCCTTGGCCATTCATCTCTTTTTTTGTTAGGTGTCTGGGCTCTGATTGGCTGTGTCCCAGACAGCTGGTCTAGGCAGCTTGGAGGACTTCTCTACTGCCCTTTTATGAGGCAGAACCACAAGGACTCCAGCTGGGGGCCTCAGGGCCTAGTATACCCCTCACAGGCTGCTAACAGAAGCCCCTTGTAAAAGGGTAGAAAGGAGAATATGACACAAGTTCTTACTACATTTGTTTTCATGTTCTCATTTGTCATAATTTCACATTTTATGAGGAACACTTCCTAAAACTTCCTCAACATGATGGAAACACATGTGGCTCTATAAGACCTTGTGTGACCATTTTCATGGAGAGACTAGATCAAAACCTCCTTTCCTC